CAGCCCATTAGTCATCATAGAAAAACAATTGTGTGGCATAAAATAACATTACACATTTTTTATATAATAACGTCGAATAATCACAAGGTTAGTTTTTATGTTAGCTCTGGTATAAGATTTTGGGAGACTGAGTTATATTAATCGTGCTGACATTAGGTATAAGGATTTTATATGAACAAGCTTGAACAAGTTGTGAAAAGACAATGTTTGATATGTCTAGCTATTATCTGCTACATCCCACTGGGAGACTGTCAGGGTCTTACCTGGGTTGGGAGTCTGTAGCGCAGATATGTTGCTCACCCTTGCAGATAGCCACAGGCCAAGGTGGTCAGGTAAGAATTCACCCGGCCTGTGGGTCTGTGCACGGGGGCTGTGCAGGATGAAGTACCAAGTCGCAGGACAGGCAAGGACTCAAACAGCAGGATCGTCAAAGGATAGCCGAGGTCAAAGGATGCCAGAAGACAGGAACAACGAGGAGTAGCCGAAGTCAAGGGATGCCAGAAGTCAGAGTAAACGTAGTCAGAAGCTGGGGTCAATAACAAGTAGCAGCTCAAACAACAGGAGCACTTGTACAAAGCACACAACAGGATCAAAGACTTGATCCTGATCACAGGGCGAGGCTGAGTTTAAATACCCTGCTAATGTCTGATCAGGGTCAGGTGAAGCACAGCCAAAGTCAAGGTACAGCCCCCAGAGAAATAGACAAGCCAGGATGAACAGGACCAGAATGACATAGAAATACAAAAGCTCCTGTGGCTCAGAGGAAGGAAGCAGGACCAGGACTGCGAAGTTCCCCAGTTCAAGTCCATTGTTGGGAACTCCATGGGTGACCACGTCTGTGGTCTGTTTGCTGCGGCGAGAACCGTGACAGAGACCCCTTTTGTGGCAATTTTTCATCTCCGGACTTGGCAGGGGGGTCCATCCCTCTCCTCTGGCGTGCAGTGCTTAGGAGTGGCTGTGTCAGCCTTCTGCGAGAGAGGGGGATACCACTGTTACTGCACGGAGTCTGATCCGCTCCCAAAAAGCTGTGCAGATGCGGTCGAAAGCCGTCATTAGGCCCCAACTATACCCCTCAGGGTCATGTCCCGTTTCCATGTGGGGTGCCGGGTCTGAGCCCTGGCCGGCATACTGTGTGCACAGGTCAGTCCCGTGGGTAGGGAATGCAGCAGAAGATGCCGGGATATCCCTCAACAGCAGGGGGGGATAGAGGTATCTCACCAGGGCGTTCTTGGTAGTTTGTGGGTAGAGTGATCGGCTGCCTCCCTCACTCCTGTGTCGCGTGGTAGGTTGCAACTAGGCATCAAGCTTGCTCCAGGGAGATGCTGGTCAGCTGACGAGGTGTCAGCAGCCAGAGTGGTAGCTCTGGGGTTGCAGTGTCACAGCAGGGTCTTCTGGTTCTTCAGGTTGGCATAACAAGAGTCAGCTTATGAGATTATAATACAAGAGATCTCCAGGAGCTCATGCTGCATGTGACTGCTCGCCATGTCAGTCAAGCCCTGCCCCGATATTATTTTTAAACCTTTGCCCCTCTAATTTAAGACTGTGTCCTCTTGTTGTGGTAGTTTTTCTTCTTTTAAATATAGTCTCCTCCTTTACTGTGTTGATTCCCTTTATGTAATTAAATGTTTCCATCATATCACCCCATCTCCTCTTTCCTCCAAGCTATACATGTTAAGTTCCTTTAACCTTTCCTCGTAAGTTTTATCCTGCAATCCATGAGCCAGTTTAGTAGCCCTTCTCTGAACTCTCTCTAAAGTATCAATATCCTTCTGGAGATACGGTCTCCAGTACTGCGTACAATACTCCAGGTGAGGTCTCACCAGTGTCCTGTACAATGGCATGAGCACTTCCCTCTTTCTACTGCTAATACCTCTCCCTATACAACCAAGCATTCTGCTAGCATTTCCTGCTGCTCTATTACATTGTCTGCCTACCTTTAGGTCATCAGAAATATTCACCCCTAAGTTTTGAGGTTAGGACTCTATCAAATATTCTGTACTCTACCCTTGGATTGTTACATCCAAGTTGCATTATCTTGCACTTATCCACATTAAATGTCTGTTGCCACAACTCTGACCATTTTTCTAGTTTACCTAAATTATTTGCCATTTGGCTTATCCCTCCTGGAACATCAACCCTGTTACATATCTTAGTATCATCAGCAAAAAGACATACCTTACCATCAAGACCTTCTGCAATATCACTAATAAAAATATTAAAGAGAATGGGTCCAAGTACAGATCCCTGAGGTACCCCACTGGTGACAAGCCCATGCTTCGAATATACTCCATTGACTACAACTCTCTGTTGTCTGTCACTCAGCAACTGCCTTACCCATTCAACAATATTGGAATCCAAACTTAAAGATTGCAGTATATTGATAAGCCTTCTGTGTGCAACAGTGTCAAAAGCCTTACTGAAATCTAGGTAAGCAATGTCTACTGCACCACCCTGATCTATTATTTTAGTTACCCAATCTAAAAAATAAGATTAGTTTGGCATGATCTCCCTGAAGTAAACCCATGTTGTCTCTGATCTTGAAATCCATGTGATTTTAGATGTTCAACAATCCTATCCTTTAACATGGTTTCCATTAATTTCCCCACTACTGAAGTAAGACTTACTGGCCTGTAGTTGCCCGACTCCTCCCTGCTACCTTTCTTGTGAATGGGCACAACATTTGCTAACTTCCACTCTTCTGGGACTACTCCTGTTAACAATGATTGGTTAAATAAATCTGTTAATGGTTTTGCTAGTACACCACTAAGCTCTTTTAATAACTTTGGGTGTATTCCATCAGGTTTCATTGACTTATTTGTCTTTACTTTTGACAGTTGAAATAGAATATCTTGCTCTGTAAACTCACATGTAACAAATAACCAATTTGTCCTTTTTTCTAACTTAGGCCCCTTTCTTTCATTTTCATCTGTAAATACTGAACAAAAATATTAATTAAGGCAGTCAGCTAAACCTATATCCTCTTCTACATACCTTTCTTCTTTTGTTTTAATCTAACTAATCCTTGTTTTACTTTCCTCTTCTCATTTATATATCTAAAAAAATGTTTTGTCCCTTTTTTTACTGACTGTGCTAGTTTCTCTTTTGTGTGTGATTTGGAAGCTCTTATATAGAGTTAAGAGTCTAGAAGAGTTAAAAGAATGAGTAACTCTTGGTTTTAAACCAATCAAAAAGATACAGTGTCAAAATACAGATTTAGATGTTAATAAAAAAATTGATAATGTTTATAAAATATTATTTTAATGTTTAATACCCCATAAATATTCTCACATATGTCAAGCCTCTTGAGGTGGCCAGTTTGAATTTTGCTGGTGGGTTTCTGTTTGGTTGTTACCACCTTTTCTTTGAGGTAATTGTGGAATGGTATGTGGCTGTTGAGGGACTAACAATCTTCAATGTGGACATCTGGTAGAGGAAGCACTTGGCGTGAAATTAGTCTTGAATATTCATGGAATAAGGAGGATGTGTGATCTATGATAAATAGCTACGAGGATAAATTTTCAGCTATAGCAAATACATAATACCCTCCTTTTATTTTACCCACTTTTGTATCGGTTGCTACTGAATACAGATTTTGTGGTTGGGGCAGTATTAAAAGCCATGACGCTGAGGAGAAGTGTTTAAAAGGGTGTTCCAAACCAGCAGGCTGTTTTATATTCCCATTGAGGAACTCCCTTGCTGTGTGTGCATATATTATATGTATATACAAGTATATTTTCTTTGTGTTACATTGTGATATGATTGCACCCATTAGGATTTAGTATATATATGATTCCTTGTATATGAAGTTTTGCAATTTACTTTTATAAATATAGGTACATTATTTAAGGGTTGCTTTTTATGCATCTATTTATATATCACGGTTTCATTAATTACTCAGTTATATCTTATTTACACAAATTATCCAATTTAATTTGCACTATTTCCACTGGCAGCACTAAACCCTCCCTTATTACTCCCATAATAGGGCATACCTACTAAACACTGTGCAGTTATTGACTGGCCAGTCTTACAAGGCAACCAAGCAGAACACTCTGATTCACATTTCAGAGCATGGGAAGGACTTTATGTAGGCCTTTCCTGCCTTTGATATGGCAAGCAGTGTGAAAAATGTGTTAGTTGCCAGAACACATCTAAATGTTAGTACTTACACTTAGTGAGTACAATGTAACCCTGGTTCCACCTTCTAGTCAAAAAATAGCAGTTAAAAAAAGTATTGGCCCAACACACCACAGGCAAAAAGCACTCCAATTTTTATTGTTCCACAGCAAGCAGCAATTGGCCTATCGGGTATGATCTCTTTAAATATATTGTCTTCTTTTAATGGATGCCAGTGTTTTTGTTTTGTTTTTTTTTACTATTTTTTAATTTGATTACTTTTATTATTAAAATCAAAGATAACAGGAAAAGTGGGATGGTTATCATTATGATTCTCCTTATAAGTTAATAGATCAGTTCTTTCTTTCTTTTTCATAACACCTAAAAAAATTGATTGAAAGCAAGTCTTATGGCTTGACTGGTGTGCAGATTTTTGTTTAACATTGTATTAATTATCCACGGACTTCAGGTGGAAGGGGTTTTCAATCACAATTTTTCCCCACCATAACCTATTTGGATTTTGCTTACCAAGCACTACCAAGTCTCAATAAGCAAACCAGTAACCAACCTCATGCTGATGAGTTGCATTAAGAACGAAACAGCTGTCAATGAGTGGTTCACTGGTTTTGCATCTTTTCCTATATTGTGTTTCAAGCTGTTGTATACAGCAAACACAGATTAAAAGGAATCCGTTTTTAAAATGGAATGAGGCAAAAATGTGATTCTTTGTTAAACTAATTTGCATATGCCCACCCAGAATCCTTTGCGGTTTTAACATCACTGCAGTTTTGGGATTTCTGTGGGAAAAGCAAGTCTTATGGCTTGACTGGTGTGCAGATTTTTTTCCTAAATAATTTTTATTTGAATTTTTTTTCCATAAGAAACAATACAAAACAATGATTTACATACTAATGGTAGGAAACATTTCTTCAATTTGAGGAATATAGCAGTGTGAATTTTCCTTACACATTTCACTGACCAAAAACAACACAATACATTTAACTTACTTATCTACAAATACAAGACAATGCAACAGGGGAGAAGATAAAAAAATTAAAAAAAATAGGAAAAAATAAGCTAAATCTGTTTGTCGGGGGGGAGGAGAAGATGCAGGTCGAGCAAAACTATGTATCTTATATTATCCAAGGTATAAACGTCCTAACAATGTTTCACTTTAACCCCTTAAGGACCAAACTTCTGGAATAAAATTGAATCATGACATGTCACACATGTCATGTGTCCTTAAGGGGTTAAATTTATAAAGAAATTAGTTTTGACAGATGCCTTATTTACTGGAAGCTCTATTTATTTATCCGCTCCCAACACTTCATCCAAACAATTACTTTTTTACTTAATCTTTGTTTATTCAACATTAATTCCATTTTGATCTGGAACTTAAGCTGGGCTCTAACTTGATCCCAAGGGATGTCCATATCATTTTTCCACCTTCTCGCAATCACAATTTTGGCAGCTAAGAAAAGATGAGTAAGAATAATTTTCAACTCATACGTCATTGCCAGACAATTTAAATGAAGCAGGACGACCTCTGGGGAGAGCCTCAACCCAAGGTTCAGATCTACAGATATAAACCTTTGGATTTTAGACCACAAGTTGTTCAATTTGTGGCACTCCCACCATGTATGCTTAAAAATAGCTGTAGCTAAGCCGCATCTCCAACATTGATTTATTGTAGGGTACATTTTGTTCAATTTGTCTGGTACTAAGCACCATCTATTTAAAACCTTAAAGTGGGTTTCTAGTAAATTTAGCGAATGTATAGTCTTCGAAACTTCCACCAGTGAAGAACCCCAGTGCTTGATATCTATGTCTATATTTAGTTCTACCTTCACGGCAGCTATAGCTATTGGAATTTTTTCTTTATTGCACATTTTGCTTAATAGCAAAGCTTTAGAAAGCGGTTTATTTATTCTATATGAATTAAATAACATGTTGATCATGTTGTTTAAACTAGATTTAAATACAATTAAATGAGTCGTCAAAAAGTTTTTAAGTCTCAAAAAATTAAACAGCTCTTTTGATGGTAGGCTATACTCCTGTATTAATTGAACAAAGGTTTTAATTGTTCCATCTACCAATAGCTGAGCCAGCCGTACAATTCCTACCTGTTTCCAATTATTGAGATTTATATCTTCAACCTGTTGCTCAACAAAATTCAGCTCTAAATAGCTTGGGACTCTATTTTCAATTTTTAATACTTTTTTTTATTTTAAACCAACTATTTAATAAATGTGTTAGAATTTTATTAGAGTATTCTTTTTTCTGAGATTTAATAGTGTTCCAGATTAAACAGTCCAAAGTGGGGACTCCTCCTGCAGTAAGTTCCATCTTATACCATGCTTCGTTTTTATTATCTTCTATTTGCATCCTGTAAATGTGTAAAATTGTAGATGCTAGATATGAAAATTACCCCCATGATGGCATACCATTTGCAGTAGTAGACAAACCAAGGTATTGCAAATGGGGTATGTTCAGTTTTTTTTAGTAGCCACTTGGTCACAAACACTGGCCAAAATTGGCATTCAAATTAGTTTTTTGCATTTTTCACACAGAAACAAATATTAACACTAACTTTGACCAGTGTTTGTGACCAAGTTGCTACTAACAAAGACTGGACATACCCCTTTTGCAATACCTTGGGTTGTCTACTTTTGCAAATGGTATGCTATCATGGGGTTAATTCTTATTCCTGGGCTCCCATGCGGTCTCAAAGGCAACGTAACCAATCTGGCGAATTTCAGTGTGAAAAAAACTGAAAAATGTAACATGCTAAATGTGACCCCATGAAACCCATAAAACCTGTACATTGGTGGCACTGTTGTACTCAGGAGATGTTGCTGAACACATATTGGGGTGTCCTTTGTCAGTAACACATAACAGGAACATGACACATCTATACATGTGTGGTATCACTATACTCTGGAGATGTTGCTGAACACATATTGGGGTGTTCTTTGGCAGTAACACATAACAGGAACCTGACACATCTATACATGGGTGGTATCACTATACTCTGGAGATGTTGCTGAACACATATTGGGATGTTCTTTGGCAGTAACCCTTAAAGTTCTCACTACATGTATTCTTAAATTGCTATGTGTGTCAAAAATTATTATTTTTTTTAATTTGGCATAAATTGGTTGTAAAATGGTTGCATGAAAAGAGTCAAAATTCCCCAAGTTTAATACCTTAGGTTGTCCTCTTTTAAAAAATATATACATGTGAAGGGTTATTCATGGACTCCTGACAGATATCAGTGTTATAATGTAACCTGTGTTAATTTTGAAAACAAAAATGGTTTGGAAATAGCAAAGTGCTACTTGTACTTTATGCCCTATAACTTGCAAAAAAAGCTAAGAACATGTTAACATTGGGTATTTCTAAAATCAGGACAAAATTTAGAAACTATTTAGCATGGATGTATTTTGGCGGTTGTAGATGCGCAACAGATTTTGGGGGTCAAACGTTCTAAAAATTAGTTTTTTACATTTTTCATCATATTTTATAATTTCTTTAATAGTAAATTATATGATATGATGAGAATAATGGTATCTTTATAAAGACCATTTAATGGTGAGAAAAATATCATATATAATATGTGTGGGTACAGTAAATGAGCAAGAGGAAAATTACAGCTAAACACAAACACCGCTGAAATGTAAAAACAGCCCTGGTCCCAAACAGTCAGAAAATTGAAAAGCTGTCTGGTCACTAAGGGGTTAAAATTGGCTTGTTAATAAAAGAAATTTTGAGAACAGTTTCTCCGTAATTGCAGGAATTGGCTTTTAGGTGCACTCTTTAGCCATGGCTTGTAGTGACAACTGGTCCGGTCAATGGCTGTATTTGCGCACACCTTCTTAAAAAACATTTTTGTATTTAGTAACCCATCTTTATTAAAAATTTCGAAATCTAAAAAGTTAATAGTTGTCCTACTATGTTCACATGTTAAAATAATTCCTCTATCATTAGTGTTGAGATGGTTTATAAACGAGTAAGTGAGTCCTCTGAAGCTTCCCATATAAAAAAGAGGTCATCAATGTATCTAAAAAAGGTGACCAGGTTTGCCCGCCAGGTATGTTCCCCCCAGACGACAGTGGATTCCCAATCTGCCATGAAGAGGATAGCATAGCTGGGGGAAACCTGGTCCCCCTGGCAGTACCTCTCTTTTGGAGAAAAAAAACAATTAAGAAACCAAAAGTAATTGTTTTTTAAAATGATATCTATACCCTCTAAAATAAAATCAATTTGAATTTCTGAGATTCTTTTTTCACTTATCAAAATCTTCCTGATGGCTTGACATCCTATATCATGTGGAATTATAGTATATAATGACTGGACATCACAAGTGACTAGAATAAAATTATAGTATATCACGTCCAGAAAGAACTGATCTTTTTAACAAAAGAAAGAACTGATCTTTTAACTTACAAGGAAAATTATATTCCCACTTTTCCTATTATCTTTGGTTTTAATAATAAAAGTAATCAAATTAAGAAAATAGCAAAAAAAACACTGGCATCTATTAAAACAAGACAATATCCTTAAAGAGATCATACCCAATAGGCAAAATATTGTTTTTAGTGGAGCCCCAAATTTTAAATTCATCTCAACCTCGAATTTTACTAGTGAAATGACCCACAAACATCAATATACACAATAACAGAGGTATACATAAAAGCATATATAAAAGAGAGCTACATTGGTGGAATTAAATACAATCGAACAGATCAAAGTCTGATTGAGACCATTGGGGGTTAGGGTCTGTCAATGTAAAACCCATTCCATTTTGCATTTCCCAAGAATATTTTTTGTGTTACCCCCTCTCCATGGGGTAATAGATTTTTATACCAATGCATTTTAAGTTGTCTGGGATCTTTGTTGTGTATAATAAAATGTTTGGAAACTGAGTGGTTTGGGTATCTTTATAAAATGTTGCGGCACTGTTTACCTAGTCATATCTTGAGGCTCTTTGTGTTCATTCCAACATATTGAAGACCACATGGGCATTCTAAAATATAGACCACATTTTTAGTGTTGCAACTGATAAAATCTTGAATAGTGTATGTCTTTTGAGTTCTATTAGACTTGAACGGGGTGATTTTTTATTTTATGGATAGGTCAGTGCTTTTGCATACTTGGCATCGCTTGCAGTTGTAAAACTCTTCTTCTCAATCTGGGGACCAACATATGCAAAAATCACCCAGATCGGTTCAGGCATTCAAAAGTTACATGGAGGTCTTAATTTAACCGACCGCACACAGTGCTGCTGTCCAGCAATAGTTCCATGAAATTGGGCTGTGTGGTCGGTCTATTTCAACAAGTATAAAAAACTAAATAATCCACGAACGGTTCCCCTGGCTCATAGGTAGCATTTGTTCCCCAAGTTTGTTGGAACAAATCTACTGAATAGCGCTCTCCTGGCTGGTCGGGGAAAGGAAGCAGGCGTTCGTGTAGTTTGACCGGTGTTCGGTAAGTCAAGTGTCCAATTTTGGTTCCAGACACTCACCGACCAAGTACCGCTGCCTCCTTTTGTACGAACAAGATGGCCGCCGTTTTCTCTAACACTTGTCGTTCGACTATACAAACAGCGACCATACAGGGAGAGCACTAAAATGGTGGTTGTCTTTGAAGTAGTTTTATCTACTGTACATAAAAAAAACCGAAAGTACCCAAATAACAGGGTATGGTAGTAGTTTCTTGACTGGGTTGCTGCCTTATTTGTTCTGTTTTGGTTTATTAGTGCTGACCCCTCGTGTCTCTATTCTTATCCCTAACTCAGCCCCATTTAATGTTTAAGGACTTTACATTTATCTGTATTGAATCTCTTTTGCCATTTGCCTAATATTAGTTTTGTGTCTTCTGCAAAACACTGACAAATTATTATCAATGCCTGCTTCAAGATAATTTATATAAAGAATAAAAACTGAACCCAGGAAATAAATATAAAGCCCTCCACTTACCACTTTTGTCCAGTTTGAACATTTTTCATTTACAATTATTCGATGCACTCTATCTTTAAGCCAGTGTTTGATCCAAAAATATAATTTTTCATCAAAACCAACTGATTATTTAGTTTGGCATGACCTGTCTTTCATAAAGCCATGTCCCCCAGTGTATATATTATAAAACCCACATGTTCAATGGATTATAATATTTAAACTCCTACCTAATGCCCACTAGTGGAGGCATAGAGACAGTCCAATGCCATCCCCAGCCAGCTGCTTACTGAGTAATAGACATACTACCCCCTCAAAATAGCAGCTGAGGGCATATGGGATGTTCTAAACCTCCCTGTAGTAATGAAGGTCGTATTGAACACCATAGGATTTATTTTATTTTTTACTTTTTAGTATATGACTGGCTAGCAAGCACTGGCCATCCACCACATGGTTAAACCTCATGCTGCTTATGTTTTTTTTTAACTATTTGCAGACATTTTTTTAGCCATGCACAAGTCTAATCATCATTTGCAAAATGCATGAATAGGCAATTCTAATAAATAAATTCTAATAAAGAAAAAATGTTTTTTCAACACATTCAAATTTACTGCTTCTCTTAAAAGAAAAAACTATCCTAAAACAATTGAATCTTACTTTGCATATGTTATAGTATCAACATAATCTAAACATAATCTAATCAAAATGTTCACATTTTATTCTTCTTTTTAAAATTAATGAAACTCCAAAATTGATCATCTAGTTAATAGAATGATACTCTAAATGTTCCAAATCTAAAATAGCATTATATTCCTTATTATTGCATATATTTTCTAGCATTAATGAAAGCATTAATAATAACACTGATTGATTTTGATAGGTGACTATAGTATCTTAAAAATACATTTTGCAGGTGTTGTAAAGTGACTATCAAATATTTATAAATACCAATGTGTTTTAGAAAAGTGTGACTGTGAATCAAAATCAGTGCAATTTAACAATAACTGTCAAATGCTTTCTACAAAAAACAAAACATTTTATACTTGAAACTCAGCATTTAATACCAGAAAGTCACTTATAGGTAAAAAAAAACAAAAAAAACACAATCATTTATCTTCTTATATTATATGGCAATA